AACTGCCCGATTTGTTTTGAGTCCTTCTCCTTTGGAACAAAACATCCCTCTGCCTTCTGCCAACATGGTAGTATCTTCCCCTTCTTACACACTTTCCTCAGTAACTGCCATAGTCTCCTCAAAAGCCGTGGGCACTTCTTATACACTTTATAAGGAATTGCACTTGGGCCTGGAGCTGAACCAGTTCTTGCCTTCTTAACAACATCTTGGATCTCCTTCCAAGTTGGTTCCTTGGTGTCAGGCGAAAACTCTGGCGGCTCCTCTGCTTCTATCCGTGGACAGTTCCCAAGCGGAATGCCCCTATCTTCATCTCCGTACGTTTCCCTCAGGTGTTGCTCAATATCTGCTGTCTGCTACTATCCAAACGGCCTGATCTTTCCCCTCCCAGCAGAGACTTTGTAAAAGAATAAGGGTCCTTGATAAAGGACTCCCTCTTCCTTGCTCTATCCTTCCTTGCCTTCTTTACCTGCTCTGCTTTCCTGAGTCTTGCCAAGTTCTCCCTGATGTCGTCCCGCAGCTGTTGTAATCCTATCCTCTCTATATCACGTGCCCTCCTGTACTGTCCTGTGACTGCTTTCAGTTCTCGTCTGAGTCGTTGGATGTTATCCTGTCTTCTATTCGGGATACTAACGTTCTTAGGATTTCTCTGCTTTCCTCCTAATCCAAATCGTTCCTTGCAGAATGTGTAGATGATAGTTCCCATTGCCTCAACCTTCCTTTCTAAGCTTCCCATTAGAGCCGACTCTAGGATGGTATGTAAGTCAGCATCTAAACTTCTCCAAGCTTCATTGTTGTTCATCTTTGGCCACTCTATCCTCAACCTTCGTGCTGGCTGTGTTGGATGTGCTTGAACACCCTGGTCGTGGTTTGTATCACTCAAGTCTGAATGGCTGACCTGTGACGAAACCGAAGCAGTGAAGTCCTCAAAATTATGGGGTGCCTCCTGGCTGGGGTCCTCCTGCGTCTCACCAGAAATTCCTTCTGAGCGCTGCGTCTGTAACTCCACAAGTCTGCACTTCACCCTTGCTTTATGAATCCTCAATCCCCGGATGTTCTTACACACCTGTCCGCACTGGCTCTTTACTTCTGCTGATGCTCCTGTCAGCGTTGTTTGTACCAAACGAGTTTGCGTCCGTGTCCGTGTCGTTTCCGTTATATCTGTCCGTATAAGCCTTTCATCCTCCCCCCCTCTCGGAAGGCTTTGGGTGTGTGTTTCTTCTTGTCGTGTTGTAGCTGGATTAATGGTGTCCTCTCGCAAGGACTGCACATTGGGCTGCCAACCCGTAGTGCCCAGATACCAGTCTGTTCCTGGATGTCATCTGTCTATCCAGCGTCACCAATCTTTCTTGGTTGCCATCCAGCCTTTCCTGGAAGTCACTGGTTTCCCTGTACAACAATAATGCAAAAAGGTTGAGGAAATCTGTGTCATAACCTTAAGATTAAATATCCGTTGATGAGACTTGAGTGGTCACAAGGTTTCATCAGAGGTCAACATCAGGTCAGGTGATGTGAGACAAACGCAGAGTGTCGATTACGTAGATATGATTGTAACTCCAAGTGCAGTCAAGTTCAATATATAAATTGCAATAAAAGTAAAAACAACAGAACAGACAACATTTTTATTGAACTGTACATATACAATGAAGAGGACTCGATTTGGACCAACGTACATTTGTATTTATCCAAACGCCAAATTATAGCTTGCTATATAATTGAAATAGGAATTTGAAACGTTTCAAAACGGACAACATGTAAATATCGTAGTTTTAAAGTCGTTTCTCCAAAAGCTTGCTTACAGATTATTTTTCTTTTCATCACTTTTAGTTCTCTAGTTGTTGATGTTAATAACACGCCAATAGTAAGAAGATTAGGTCTCTAGGTACATCCGCCTGGGGTTCTATGTACCGCAATACGACAATAATGATAATAGGTCGTTCATCTTAATTATATTACTATTATTCTCAGATCAATACCAAGGATAGAGACACAATCCCGTCGAGTCCCCGTCGGGTATACAGGTACGGTACAGTGCATATCCGATGTGTTCAGATTAACTCGTGTACTTTGTAACTTTAATGGTGGTAATATAAGACACGTGTGTTTCCGGATGTGTTTTATTTTTGACCACCTGACTGATTACGAAGGAAACAAGTACATGAGGAGTGGTAGGAGTGCTCATTTGATGTTCGCGTTCGCATTTATAACGTTAGCATTTTTACTGTGATGCGATCTCATTTAACGCGTCAGAAAACATGATAGTTTATCTCCCTTTTATTTACACGACAGATATTTCATGATAAACGTAGCTAAGATTACACGAAAATAGTAACAATAGCAAGTTATTGAAAGAGAAAAAGGTAAACGCCTTTCGTTTGAGAGAGCATTTGCTTCGTCATCATGTTTATATACTGTTCCTATGAAGTTCGTTCCACTTTGCTGCTTTACGTTTTGTATGTTATATTTAAAAGGATCTGTGCTATACCGGTTTGTCGTTGTTTACAAAACACAAAACATACACTGTTACCTGTATTATGCTCTAAATACAATAGCTAAAATTAAAGGTAAGATACAAATGTTATGCCGAGCTAAATATAATGTTGAATAATAAAACACAAAACCACGCACTACTACAACCGGCATTAGAGTAACGTTTGGCGACATACTAAGGGTGATACAAGAGAGAATTGTTAAAGGACAAGAAAGAAAAAATGGACATTGTAATACATTAGGGGTACGTCTAGTAGCTATTAAGTGTATGTAAATACATAATATGTATCTTGATATTTGAGGCGGACTGACTACCGGGCTAGCACATGACACATTGATTAAATGATTGATATTAAAAGAGACAAAGGGAAAACAATTTGAAGAAATCAAACATGTATAATCTTACTCCCTGTGGGCATTATGGGTGGATTAAACAGGGTGTCAGACTACACAAGTTTTATCTGGAACAGTTTACAGGTAGAAATGTTGGATACCAGAAAACTCAGGCGTCAGATTGGACAGGATGTGTCAGAATACATTTTTATTATTAAAAATCTACGACTGATGTTTCGTTATTGAACTAAGCATTAGTTATGTATGCGGTACTATGCATACATTCTAAACAATGGGTGATCTTTTTTTTTATCAAAATTTGCAGTATTGTATAATAACAAAGATCCGATGTTATGCGAAAACTCGAACGATTCAACATTATTTTCTGATACTGGAGGGTTTGAGTTTTATGTCACAATAAAAAACGCGATACTACGTAGTTATTTAAATGATGTGGACATATATCGGGCTTTGTAGTTAATTGACACATACGCTAGAAAAAACATTAAGTGATGACCGATTCTGTATTTAGAAACCTTAATTAATATTGATATTCGATAAACCCTCTGTTTTATCGTCATAAACGAATGCATACTATACTGTTTTCTTCACACTCTATATTTTGAAAACTAACAGATTTAAAGATTAACATGCAATCTCGTTTTGCGTACAGCCCAAAAAAATATCCGAAAAAAGCGTAATTAGATTCATCGTCAGGTACTTCGTCTTTGTACATCGCCCATCGTCAGGTACTTCGTCTTTGTACATCGCCATCGTTAGCTATGTTTTATTGTGACGTCGTGTGCTGACGTATTAATTGATGTCGTCTGTTGACGTATATAAAAATAATCTTTCTTTTGACGTCCTGTGTTACAATATACATATACATTGTATTATCATTGTCGGCATTTGTTGACGAACATCATGAGGTACTCTGTTGTAACGCCATTTGTTGACGAACATCATGAGGTACTCTGTTGTAACGCCGTTTGTTGACGTACATCATGAGGTACTCTGTTGTAACGCCATTTGTTGACGTACATCATGAGATACTCTGTTGTAACGCCATTTGTTGACGAACATCATGAGGTACTCTGTTGTAACGCCATTTGTTGACGTACATCATGCGATACTCTGTTGTAACGCCATTTGTTGACGTACATCATGAGGTACTCTGTTGTAACGTCATTTTTTGACGTATATCATTAGGTACTCTGTTGTAACGCCATTTGTTGACGTATATCATTAGGTACTTTGGTATGACATCATTTGTTGACGTACATCATGAAGTACTCTGTTGTAACGCCATTTGTTGACGTATATCATTTGGTACTTTGGTATGACGTCATTTGTTGACATACGTCATATGACTCTTTGATGTGACGCCATTAGTTGACGTACATCATTCGAAACTTTGTTTTGTCGTCCTTCGTTGCCGAACATCATAGCCTACTTTGGTGTGACGTCATTTTAGACGTTGTATATGGTGGAGTACTTTCTTATGATGTCGTATGTTGACGTAGTACTTTGTTGTGGTGTCCTTCGATGACGTACATCATTGGTAACTCTGATGTGACGTCATTTGTTGACGTTATATAAGGTTGAGTACTTTCTTATGATGTCCTTTGTTGACGTACGTCATTAGGCACTTTTGTGTGACGAAATTTGCTCACGTACTTCATTAGGTACTCTGACGTCATTTGTTGGCGTTATATACAAGTGAGTTCTTTCTTGTTACGAAGTATGTTGACTTTCATCATAAGCCACGCTTTAGTTACGTTTTATAATCATGCTGCTGAGATCGCATAATGAGTTGTCTCTTATTACTATTTTTGCCATTGCGCACTGCTACTGGTTAATCTCCAAACCTCCTAAAACATATACCTCTAGTCCACATGTACCAAGCTCAGCTCTTTTATATAGTAAACTTTTTCATTTATAATTAACTGACATGTTGTCTGCCGTGTTATTGACATTAGTAACTTTGGACCTTTGAGACACTTAACCCTCCTGATCGAGATAATCCTGTGTGACACCATTAGTTACTCTGTGTATCTTTATTTAAAGTAAGACAAACACTCCAGTCATTGTCTTAAGAGAAGAATAATACCCGGACAGGTTGTCAAGCGCCCTGTCAAACCAACCACGGAAAATAACATAACGCAGTTTAAAGGTCAGCCTGCTTTCCGATGTCACGTGATAGATAAGCAAGTCAGTGTCGGAACCTTTAACGTAACCGACTTTGAGTAAATACGGGACAGTCCTCATGCATACAGGTAGCTAAATCTCAAGTGATTTAGTGTCCATGTTAGCATCCGGAGGTCTTCAAGTATCATCACTGTTACAACTACATAAAGTGAAAGGGGGTCTATTGAAGACTTCGTGGATAGACGTGAAGAAAAGCAAGATATTGGACACTTTAACTACAGTTGCATAATGCTTAGGGAGTAATTTCAGTTCTTTTAACAAACAAGTGAATTAACAGAATATTGTGGACGCTATATCGTTTTGAACTTGAATACATGTTTCTTGATGATTGTATCATCATTGCTGAAAGGCCAGCAGCATAATCTGACAGAATACCACAATAACTCTTATTGGGATAAGGTTTCATTTTCGAAGTTACCCATGAAGGTTGTTACTGTACAAAGTGCCGTGGAGCGGCATCCGTCGGAGACAAACTTCGACATGTTCACGACCAACGACCAGCCGGAGCTGAAGTTAGAGGTACGTTGATCTGATGTCTGGTGTAGACGGTGGGGACTATATCCGTTTAAGTTACTGACCAGACGCCCAATCATTGACCATTTCCTTAACAAACCCTGTTTGAAATTGTGCAATGCTTTGTGACTTTTTCATTTCTGCAAATAGTAAGCAATCATTTAAATTTTACGTTTTTTGAAATTAAGTTACTGTACACAGTTTTATGGTGTTCTTACCAAAAAAAAACAATTGTTTATGCTGTAACACATTGTGACTAGGTTACATTACGTTCATTTGTTTTATGCTGTAACCCATTGTGACCTGGTTACATTACGTTTATTTGTGTATGCTGTAACCCATTGTGACCAGGTTGCATTACGTTCATTTGTGTATGCTGTAACCCATTGTGATCAGGTTGCATTACGTTCATTTGTGAATGCTGTAACCCACTGTGACCTGGTTACATTACGTTCATTTGTAAATGCTGTAACACATTGTGACCAGGCTGCATTACGTTTATTTGTGTATGCTGTAACCCATTGCGACCAGTTACATTACGTTCATTTGTGTATGCTGTAACCAACTGTGACCTGGTTACATTACGTTCATTTGTAAATGCTGTAACACATTGTGACCAGGCTGCATTACGTTTATTTGTGTATGCTGTAACCCATTGCGACCAGGTTACATTACGTTCATTTGTGTATGCTGTAACCCATTGTGACCAGGTTGCATTACGTTCATTTGTGTATGCTGTAACCCATTGTGACCAGGTTACATTATGTTCATTTGTGAATGCTGTAACCCATTGTGACCAGGTTACATTACGTTCATGTTGTCAGGTCCGAATTATGAATTCTCGGTGCCCTAGGTCTTTATATTGACATCGCAAGAGCAGATGCCAGGAAATAGTTTGGAAGGCTGTGAATATAAAATGAAAACGTTAAAGATGTGGATGACAGAGAAACAAATGTATATTTTTTATAAAGGAATGCGTGTTTACAAAGCCTCCGAGATAACCAGTACTTTTTTTAATTTAATTTAATTTTACAAAAGATTGAAAATGAAACATTAAATTGATTATGTTGAGATATTCATATAATGGAAATTTACATTGTTGCCCAACGCTATATGCAGTGTGTCATTCGTCATTATTTGATAGCTTGTGCATCTATATTTGTAATGCCGAGTCGAGCCTGGTGTAAACTAAAGGCATAACTTTGTAACTATTACCAGTTTAAAATTTCCGCAGAATCCGTTGTATGTATTATCAGCTCCGTAATATAGTTTTTGTCTCAAAACGAAAAAAACATATATTCGAAAAAAATAAAAATATATTACAAATGATACAATCGGATTTGTAACTACAAGCCATGCGGATAGAGGTATCACGACATGGTTTACTCCTCCGGAATTAGCATTGCCAGGCTGTAGAACTAATTTAATGTGCAATACTGTTCTCATAACGATTTTACTGATTCTAAATGCAACTTTAATATTCGTAAACATGCAACTCATTTCAATTTTGTTGTCATTTGAGCGAAGTCGGTATTTAGAGGAATCGCAGCTTTTCCCCCCATTTTCTGTGTTGTTTTGTTTTGCAGGTTCTTGAATTTCTGAGTTATAAGGCACAAACAAACGTTCACAAAGGTATTTTGTTAAAGCGACAACAAAAGGTTTCCATATTTGTTTTCCTTAGATAAACAATGTACTTGTTTACGTTGACCATATTTTCCTTTCAAAGTCATATTTAATAATCTCTACTTTATGTATATTTTATATTTAAAATTACATGCGGATCTCAATATCCATAGCACGTTACTAGAAAAATACTGCTTCTTTATTCTGCGAATAGAATATGCAGTGAAAACAAGAACAGTTGCTGTTTATCAAACTCAATAAATCTCTACTACCTGAAGAGGTTTCCCACAGAACGAGATAATTGGATAAAACGTTTATTTGAATAATAGACGTCCGATTATCTTACATGTATTAGTTTATAACGAGCTATTCAATAGATAACATAGACAGATTGCATTATGTTGATCAATGCCACGCCTGACGATATCTATCAAACAGACGTCATCAATGAGGCAATATATTAAAAAATAAGTGTTATTCTGCTTTGCAAAATAATGGAATCTTTGTAGGAGGCCAATATTATGCGACGTTCTATCAAAACATGGAACACATTCACTATTTTACGTCCACAGTTATTTAAATTCATCAGACATTTAAATGGATATCAGATTTAATGTCCTATTGAAAGTCGTTCTACCTTTCACGTGTTCGAAAGTTTTGTCTGTAGGCACATAGCTGTCCGATTTAATGACGAGAACTGTGTGCATTGGGATAAGAAAAATGACAAAGACTTGGCGACACACAGAACCAACAGATACCTAATAGAACCTCCGAGATTGAACCCTAATCCGCGAAGAAATCTTGATTTATTATCAGAATTATCAGAAACAGAGCTAGTCTATAAAGCTGTTTTGCAACGGTTGTGATATCGTCATTAACAGCACATTTACTCGATTTATGTACCGTTTTATCCAGATACATATATTTCAAGATAATTCTCCCGAAACACCAAGGAGATGCGGAAGAGCGTGAGCAGAAGAGAAAGCTTCGTTATTATTTTACATGATATATTGGTCATTATAAGACAACGAGTAATTCCACGGTAAATTCTTCAATGTGATTGTGGTTCTCGAGGCAATTAAAAGACCACTTCAAACTAGAATAGCTGTTTTAATGCAACGAAAAAGACTTTATCTAATATTTAGGTACTCTGTTTCATGAACCTAAATACCAAACTATCTGAATTGTCACAAAAATGTGTAGCCAGAGACGGCAATTAAAAAAGTAACTGACACGTTTGACGACAAATTAATATCCCACTAAGGAGGACACACTCTAAAGAGGACTTAGTGAAGCAGTTCTGGTAATGAATACGTCTTTGTGCTTAACAGTTCAAATATCAATCTCACAATGATATTGTAAATTTATGATGTATACTCTATCCAAATGAATTCACATGCCAGTCCATGTGACTTTAGCCGACAGCGAGCATTGACAGGACTTCCAGGAAGTCCGCTTTAGTATTGAAATCAACCATAAATGTTTCACGTTTGAAATTTAAAACAAACGCTTAGGTCAATATTGCACAACATAAATAATGTCTTCCAATTGAATAATTTCGAACCTTAAAAAGTCAACGCCATTCATTTTTTGGGGCAATTTCTAGTAATTTACGAAATAAATTGGTAGACATATGAGCATTTGAAGCTAAATAATTGACGCGGAATCAAACGGTTACACTATAAAGTAGTATCTCAGATAACCTGCTGATTTAGCAGGCCGTCAGTTAATCCGAAGGGCGTAAATTAATTGACTTTGCTTGGGAATTTGGCAGCAATCCAACCGAATCATTGACGGCCTGAAAGACCACCTAACCCTATGGCATTTTATCTACCCAGTTATCTCCCCTGTAGACTCCCACCGGGGTCTGTAACAAAACCATATCAGACATTGATCAATTCAATGGTGGTAGGAAGCCTTCAGCATGCCTATTATATGTATTATACAATGGTTGTATAAGTACTCTGTATGTATTGGTAGGAATTTTGTATTTGCGATTATGCATAATTAGCTTGCACAAAAGGACATAATATACTACCATGTCTTCGTATGCATTGTATTCAGAAGGACAAATTGTGACCTTCACGCCAGAGTAACATAAGACAAAGAAGGCAAAGACAATAGCAATCGAATAATATTCAATCACCCCCGTTGTGTCCTACAAGTATGTTAGAAGGTTAAATTTCAACACAAGTCGATTAATTAAAGGTACGTCTTACTTTTGAACACAGATTATGTGTATCCGATTTCTAAATTACAAGGCCACTTACGTCCAGGAAGAAAGAAAAAAGGAATGGGAACCATTGACATTGATATAGCATTACTAATGAAACTTTTATGAGTCATACTCTATCGATAAAGTGCGATTTAAAAATACGCGAGATACATTTTACAGGATTGTTATTCGAATTTGAAGTATCAAAAATGAAAACAGTAAAGCATTAACGGAAGTTATGGGTGCCGAAATAAGGCCCCCTCAGTTGCTACACTTTACTGATGTTGCTACCCAGGAATTGCAAATAATGCACTGTATCAGGAAGAATAATACTTTGTCAAAGGAAGAAACCTTAAACTTAATACTCTTTTATGTCGACTTCTTTAACATTCAAACAGGGAGAATTATGTAAATAGAAAAAAACAGCTTAGAGGCTGACTTCTTTCTCACTATTATACCTTATGCAGTGCTATAATTAACTTCAATACACAAAACATCAGAATACCACTTTGAGAACATTAATCATTCTTAACACTTGTCAATGACTTCATTTTGGTAAAACTGACGAATAAAGAATAAAAGTATGTGAAGGTATGGCCACAATAATGATACTAGTATTTGATGTTTTCGCTAGTATTATTTTCCTTTTCTTACATGTGGCGTATTCTAATATTCTGCTCTTCTTTTTTGTTTTGTATTTACTAAGGTTACGTCTGGATAGTTGCCCTTGTTTAACGTTTTGATATTGTCTATGTGCAATTCATGTCGGGTGAGTCATCGATCTGTTATTGCAGAAAACCTGCTAATAAGTACGGTACAAGTCAACAGAAGATAACATCTTATCTCCTGTAAGATCAAAGAGATCTGTTTTACAGGTGTAGGTACAATGTATGAATCGACAACGGTACAACTGTGCGTTGTGAACAGTAACAGAACAGTAAGGTTAGAAGACACACCACTAGACTATGTGTAAGTCCCCCGAGGCCACTTAGAGACCCCTCACTTCTGTGACAGTGGATAAGCATTACTGTTTTTAATCGAGATAACGGTAATAAAACATGCTTCCATTGGTCACTCTACTGTCATGACCTATACATGTGCTTTGTGAGTGGTTTCCTTGGTTGCAATACCCCTTTAAAAAACCGATGCAAAATCAATCACCTTTTGA